CTGCTGGGAGGGGTCCCCTCCTGGGGAGCAGTAGCGCAGATCCCCTTCTTGCAAACACAGCCCTGAGCCTGGAACCAGCCCTTTCTCGCTGGTGTTTGGAGGCAGGAGCTGACCTCTGGGTGGGGGGCATTTGTCCTGCTGGCCTCTCCCAGGCGGGTGTGCAGCCATGGAGAGCGGTGCTGCTTTTCCGCTCGCTTGAGCCTCCCTGCTGGAACCACTCCTGCCTGCAGGGCTGGGTCTGGTTCTGCACAGGGCTGGGTTCTGCTCCAAGCAGCACACAGCCAGCGGGCTGGGGGGGCTGGCTCTCTGCTGGCGGTGCCTCCCTGGAGCGGGAGGGGGGTTCAGGCTGGGCTGAGGGAGTGCTGAAACTTGTCAAAATGCTGCTTGGAAGAAAATAAAAGTGCAGAGGCACTTGGGAGGAGTAGTCACTTGGTGTCCAGCCCAGAGCGGTGCATCTCTGCAGATGAGGGCACAAGGAGGTGCGAGGGGGAGGGCACATGGGAGTGAAGCAGCCACCAGCTGCACTGCTTCTTCCTTCCTTTGCCGTTAGAGCGCAGCCCCCTGCCACACTCAGCCCTGTGTGCAGGGATGGGGCACGTGCTGAGAACCTGCTCTGCCCCTCGCCCGCCTGAGCCCATGGAGCTCAGCCCTGCGGCAGAGCTGCTGGCTGACCCCAGGGCCAGGAGCCCTGCCAGTCCCTGCCCAGAGCACGGCCTCCCCAGGTCAGGGGCGTTCTGCAGGCGCATCCCCTACCCAGAGCACACAGACACAGAGCTGGGAAGGACCTTGTTTAAGAAAATACACAACAGCAAGACAAACGGGTACAAATGTAGTGGAGTGTCCAACCCAGCTCCTGGGCACGTGGGGCCCTAGCCTGCAGCCAGCAAAGAGCTCCCTGGCAGCATGGGGGCCACAGCCCCAGGTCAGTATCACAGCAGAGCCCCTGGCCATGCTCATGGCCCCTTCTTGCTGCCCGTGGGCTTCTCGGTGCGGTGCTCCTTGCTCTCGCCCTCGTCCCCAGCCTGCTGCTGCAGCCACATGCCAGCGTACACACCGCCCTTCTGCAGCAGCTCCTCGTGCCTGTGGGGAGAGCAGAGGGGTGCAGGGTCCTGTTCTGGCCCCAGAGCCAGGGAGGGGGTCCCCAGGGGCAGCCAGTGGCCAGCCCTCCTCCTGTGCTCACCTCCCTCGCTCCACGATGCGCCCATCCTTGAGCACCAGGATCTGGTCTGCACCCACTACAGTGGAGAGCCTGCAGGGAAAGGCAGGGTGTTATCCTGGCTCGGAGGGGAGAAGGGCCGGGGGGTTGGGGTTTGCACAGTGCAAGAAGCTGCAGTTGCACAGGCTGTCACCTCCCCTGCAGGAGGACAGGTCTGTGAGTCCCTGTGTGGGAGCTGGCCAGCTCAGAGCTCAGCACCTCTCCAATCAGCCCTTTCCCCTGGCCCCTACCTATGTGCAACGACGATGGTGGTGCGGTGGGCGCAGACTTTGGCTAGGGATGCCTGGATGTTCCTCTCAGTCTCCGTGTCAAGTGCAGACGTGGCCTGTGGGAGAGGCAGGGTGTGGGGATGGGACACAGGCAGCCGCTGGGGCAGAGGCTGCTGCAGAGCGGGGAAAAAGGGCTGGGGGCTGCTGTCATTACCTCGTCCAGCAGGATGATGCGGGGACCCTTCAGGATGGTGCGTGCGATGGCAACGCGCTGCTTCTCCCCCCCGCTCAGCTTCAGCCCCCGCTCCCCTACCTGGGTGTTGTATCCTGCAGGCACAAGGGCAAGAACGTGCTGCACTGGTACCCTACGAGATGGGGATGGGGACTGGGACCCTGCTGCATGGAAGGGTCCTGCTGGGACCACGCAGCCGCCTGGCGCAGCCCAGGGGTTGATTTAGCCCTGGCGAGATGGCAGGGAGAAGCAAAGCGAGGTACAGGGTCACACAGATGTCCCCAGGGGGGGATGTCACCCAAGGACACCCATGAGAGCAGCTACAAGGTCATGGAGGACCCCAGAACAGCCAGGGAAGGCAAGGAGGGGACTGTGGGGGGGGTCTCACCATCGGGGAAGGAAAGGATGCGGTCATGGATGTCAGCAGCGCAGGCTGCCTCCTGCACCTCCTGGTCAGTGGCCAGGATCCGTCCATAGCGGATGTTGTTGGCAATGGTGTCATTGAAGAGCACCGTGTCCTGGGGCACCACCCCAATGTGGGCGCGCAGCGATGCCTGCTTCACCTGGGGAGGCAAGGGGAGGAGCTCAGACAGACATACACACCCCACCCCCCAAAACCCCATCCTACCACTCAGCTGTGAGCCCAACACCCTGCTTGTCACGGGGTGTCTGCTCCGGGGGGGAACAGGCTCAGCTGCATCTCCACTCTGCAGTGGGGGGGCCGTGCCAGTGCCCCGGCCCTTCCCAGGGAACCCTGGCCAGTCTCCAGCATTTCAGCCCAGGGGTCCCACAGTCACCCCACTGCCAGCACAGCCACCAGCCATCAAAGGGGCTGCAGGGGCTGCATACTCAACCCTGCGCCGGGGAGATGCCAGTGCCTGCACCGAGCAGTGCTGCGAGGCCCAGCAGAGCCTGTGTGTCCCCCCGCTGTGTCCCCAGAGGCCTCCCAGCATCACCTGGGAGATGTCTTTTTTTTGATGCAGCCGCCCCGCACATCGTAGAAGCGGAAGAGCAGGCGGATGACAGTGCTCTTCCCTGAGCCCGAAGGTCCCACCTGCACGTGAAGGTAAAGGGACGTGGAGACACCAGAGACCCCCCTGGCTGCTGGAGGGCAGGGGCTGGGCAGGGAAGGGTGGCCCCGCTGGGGGTCTGGCCTCCCCACCCCTGTCCTTCCCAGCCCCTTTTCCCCCAGCCCAGCCTCCAGCAGTGAACCCACGCCCCAGGTCCGGCTCTCACCAGGGCCAGGGTCTGCCCGGGCATCACAGAGAAGGAGACGTCCCGCAGGATTTCCTTCCTGGGAGAGGGAGATGGAGAGGGGCTCAGGGCCACCTCTTCTGCCCCCCATCCCTGTGCCAGCCTCTATAGCTCAACTTGTCCCATCCTGTCACCCTGTCCCCGCTGCCCCATACCCATCCATGTAGCTGAAGTGCACGTTCTCAAACTCGATCCGCCCGGCCTCCAAGCACAGGTCGCCAGCGTTCACCGCATCCTTCACCTGCCATATGGCGAGATGCAGCCTCAGAGCCACCCTGTCCCCAGGGCAGGGCCATGGGGCCGTGCCAGGGACCGGGGTTGCGGAAAGTGGCACCCACCTCCTGCTCCTCGTGGAAGAGCTCGAACATGTTCTCCATGTCCACAAAGGAGTTCTGGATCATCCTGAAAGGGGGTGAAGACCAAGGTGAAGGGTTTGGGGGAGCACATCCCGACGCAGAAGCCCATGGGGAGGGGGTCCCCAGGCTCCCCCACAGCTCCCAGTGTTACCTGTAGTAAGTCCCGAACCAGTTGAGCGGTGTGTAGAGCTGGATGATGTAGGTGCCGAAGAGGACAAAGTCCCCCACCTGGAAGGGCCAGGGGAGAGGTGACTGTCACCACCAGCCCCAGGGCCCCCACCCAAGGCCGGGGACCACCCAGGATGGCACCAGCCTTACCTGCAGCTTGTTTTCGGTGACAAAGTAGGCACAGAGCAGGGATCCCGCCAGGAGCCCCAGCCCAATGACCAGGTTCTGGGTCTGGTTGAGGAGGCCCAGCGAGGCGCTCCCCTTCCACTCCGAGACCTGGAAGAGGCAAGGTCCTCCAGGATGCTGCCGCCTCCAAACCAGACCCACAGTGAGCTCCATCCTCCCTGCAAGTGCCCGTGAGGCTCAGATCCTTCCCTCCCAACCCCCACCCCGATGCTGAGCTCCCTGTACCTGGTACTTGACGATGGCATCGTTAAAGCGGTTCACCTCGTAGCTCTCCGCATTGTAGTACTTCACCTGCAGGATGCAGAGCCGGCGTCAGCATCCGGATCAGCCCCCCCAGTGCCAGGCATTGGTCAGTGACCCCCCAGTGCCAGGCATTGGT